GGATACCTCGTTAATTGCATAACCTTTGATATTTTGTTTCGATAAGCACTGTTCTTTATCATTATTGCTTCGTTGCTATTAACTCATTCGTTACGTTCTGCCAATTGTTTCATTAATTACGCTGACGCAATTATTATGGTCTCCTTCACACTGAATATTTATTTCTGTCCTCGCATGCTGAAGGAGAATATTATTCCTCAGCATTGTAATAATTGATTTTTGCTCAGTGACTCGCTCGAATAATTGTCAACGACGAAGCTGAATGCTCGATTTCAAAGATAAAAGGCGTACATTGTTTTCGAGGATGGAAAATAAAACCATTGATTCAAAATTGGCCAAAATTATCCGAGACCAATTTTCCTGAAACTTTGCATATTGATATCCCTTTGGATCTAATATTGATTTCGTGCAAAGCTTTTTCTCTGGACTACAAGATTACGGGAAGAGGGTCAAAATACGTATTTTGCGAAATCTATTATGTATTGTAACATTTAATAAAGACACGTTATCGATTCGAGACTGATACCAAAAAATCATTAAAAATTCAAGGTTTCCCACGGTGTATAAGTTTATATAATTTATTTATTGCTCATATAATTTGTTTACGTTTTTCGTGTTTGTCAAGATTGAATAAATATAGAGAAATTACAATTTCCAAAAAAAAGTATCGCCTAATTTTAACTAAAAACGCTCCATTAATAGTACGTTTCATAATTTATAATATTATCCTTTGACTAAAATTTGTATAAAACAGTGATATTATATTGTATATAAAAGAACTGTATAAATGTTCTGTAATTCCAAGTTTCATTGTCATGAAAATATGACACGTTCATGGAAATTCAATTCGATGAATTCTAATGTTTGAAAACCCCATATTTGGAACACCACTATCCGATATTTACTCGTATAATTTGGAACTTTCTTTTATGCTGCGTTTATGATAAATATCAAATTCACGTCGGAAAAATTGATTCGAACTAATAATACGAACTCACTAGCGACGTTAGGGCAAGGAAATACATTGTATAATGGATGACGACGCACCACAAAAGAGGATGAATTCAGTGCGTTCGTGCTAATACGTCACCGTTTCCTAGAAATGCCACACACGCCCCCTACATGACAAGAAACGCCCCGCGAAACTTAACGTATCAACGTACATCGTACCAGCGTTCGTAAATAAATAGACAGACAGTCATCTTTTATTCCCACTGGTTCAATTATCGAAAGTTATACACAGTGCATTCCAATTCATGCTGATTTGTTTATGCTAAACAATAAAGTATATGCATTTATTATTATATAAGATATAGTAATTCAAAATAATTTTTTGATATAAAGAAGGAAAAACGGAAGATACGTATGAATTATTGAAGACTATGAGCTTATGCGCAGAAATGTTGTAAATACTTGTAATATTGATCAAATAAATATATAATAAAATAATATGTTTGTCTCTCCAAATAATAGGAATAATATAGGAATATTTAACAGTGATTTGTGGATACAGACAAGAAGGAAATTACTCTATCTCTATTGCTAACTTATTTCTTCGTAATATTTAATATTTCTATACTTTGTCACGCCAATTCATAATTTTCACATGCAGCTGAATATCACTTAATTCCTACATTTGCTAAACTATTTGCTACAAAGACGATTCAATTCTATTCTCTTATGTACAAACTGTAAGTCCATGTTCTGCCCAGGAACATTACTTTTAATATAGTGTTTAAGACGTTGAATGCTGCACGATTTCACGGAGAAAAAAATACGAAATGAGAAAAGATATCATATTAAATTACTGAATTGAATTGCATTATTCTTATTGCACGTTTATCTTGATGAATGTCATTGCACTAGGTAATGTTATTTATAATATAGAAATGTTTCCAAATAATCACCGTTTAATAGAGTGAATTATGGTGATTTTATTTGGTCGTGGGTCACCGGTAACCCCCACATAATTCAACGTGTTAATAGTATTTAACCAATATATGAAACGGCATTTATATAACACAACTCTACAAGCACTGAATACGCAGTATTTAATCAACGAACTTCAGAGATATTTAATAAAAAGTATTCAACAGACGAACTCGACGATTTATCAAAAACTTCTCATCGAGATTCCCCTAATGAAATTTTATTCGATCAGAACGCTACTGAATCATTTCGTTCGCCTCTTTTCGCTTTTCGTTTAAAAAGGAGAGGAAGGAAAAAACTTTCTAGAATATCGGTAATGTTTTCCTTTCGCCGGGATCGTTAATTAAAGATTCGACGGATTGGAAGTGTGTACTTTGTAAACGAAAATGGATGTCGAAAGGGTTCATCGAAATTGCAAAAACTGCGCACTTTTTAGAGGGAATCGGGGACGCTCCGGTTCAGAAACGAGGCCGAATTGAAGCTCAACCAAAAACGGTGGTACAGTGGTATCGATCAGGTGGGTACGTAGACAGCGATAACAATCATGTCCGTTTAAAGACGTCACTACGATGCCGTGCCGTATGAAATATAGATTCTGCATGTCGTGGGTGTGTGCAGAGGGTGTTCTAACCGATTGGATTGGTCTGAATCCTTTAAACGGATTTACATAAAAAGGCTTTATCATAGCGAGAATAATAACGCACAACGAACGCACTAGGTGAAGATATACGAATATATTCATAAATATATTTATAATTTTTACTTCATATTTCCACAAATATTTTAGACATGCAAATTGATTTCTAGAAACGGATACTATAAATCTTGTTATTTGGATTGTTGAAGGCTTTCGTTAGTTGGAAAAAACGAAATCATATTTTTAAGAACTTCTACAGTTATTGCTATCGGAAATTATTCATAGTTTGTAAAATACATTTTCGTGTTCACTGTAAAACGCAAATTCCACAATCAAATTATTTAGTTTAAATGGTTTAACTTCTATTTTCTGTGAGATAAATGAAAAGAGTATATTAATATTACTAAAAGGAAAAGAATTCAATGGATTTAGCGTATGTTCATGTATGAAATTAGAATATAGAAACATATATATATCAGATAAATTAATTTAGGACTGTTTCTTATATTCCGTACGTTTAAAAGAATGAAGGAATTCTTAAAGAAAATAAATAAAAAACAACTTACAGCTATTGAATCAGAGGCTGCAAATTCCTTAAAGTTCTAGCGTTCTATAAACGTTACGTGCAACAACGTATCGTTTACAGAAAAAATATTGCGCGGGAAAGCGATATGTGTCTGCAATGGTATTGCTCTCTGGTAGCGATAGAGTAGAGATAAATTTTTAAACCTGAAGTCTCGTACATTCGAAATTCAATTTTCAAAGCTTTATTTATTTTTTCAGGTTCAAAAATATTTTCTATTTTTTTCTGCGTTTATTTTTGTTACACAGTTTGCTTATCTTAACCTTCTATATGCTTGGAATTATAGTTCTTTTTAAAAATCGTTTGATTTTCTTCTACGTCAAATCCTATATTGGTCTTTTTTGTAAAATAATGAAAAAGATGATAAAGAAGTTTCTTAATTTCCTTAAAAATACAAGTCTAGTGAGTAATATGACTAATTACTTTTTACTGAAATTTTGAACCATTTTTTTGTTGGCACCAAAAAAACTAAAAACCAGAAATAATGACATAAATTTAATTGAAAAAAAGATAAAAATGAAAACATCAATTAAAACAAAAATGGAAGTAGAATGTTACTTTGTATTTGTTATTGTTTTAGTGTTATTTTCCATCTATCAGTACAGTGATGCACGTAATGTTGACAACACTTCTAGGAATAGGACAATAGGCTCCAAGTTCATTAATACTGTATTAATACCGCTTGTGTAGAGCTACGCACATCATTACTCTGCGACCGCCTCGCGGCTAGATCCTATTAAACAGTGAAGGGGTGGCATAGAACCTTGATTATTCGAACTCATCATGACAGGCATTGTTTGGATAATTGAATTTTCCCGATAATTTAATAATTTGTTAATAATGTACGTAGTTTCGTAAGAAAAAAAGTTAATTTAATTAACATTCTTTATGAATAGCAATATTAAACAAAAGAAATTCTAAACAGAAATGTAGTAATTTTCTTTAATATCCATATAGTTTATGTTAGTTATTCTTACTTGTAATCTTATTATTTTAACGTTAAATATAAAATAATCCCATACTTACGTATATGCCGAAGAATTCTAATTTACAGAGAAAATGCTATTTCAACACTCGAATTCTCCTTTGATGGATGCTCCGATAGACAATCATTCTGTTAATCGATACTCCGATAATCTATCGTTCCAATGATCGTTCCGATGGTTCTCCGATGACCGAGATTCTGTAGTACTTTGTTTTGTACTTACAACTCTACACAATCAGATCGTTGGCAAATTTTGATTAATTATTATCTCGGAAACTGCAAAATACGACTTTCTGTCTCAAAACTACTGTTCATTCAAAATAGGCGTAAAGACTTGGATTTCGATCAAATTGACTTTTACTTAAAATTAAATTCCACATTTTTTAACAAGATCTTCACTTAACTCAAATGTCCACTTTTTAGTTGCAATTAGAAAAGTGATTTACGTTCCAAGTAAACGTACCATTTTGCGTAACATAATAGCACTTTTTAATTTGCCAAAATTTAAAAAAAAAGAATAGGATTCAAATAACAAATATCATAATTCCGTATATACTTGATAACGATTTCCACACTCTCATGTATCTAAAAAATTAAAGACTTCCCAAACCTGTAACTTCTGCAAATACATGTATTCAAACTAAGAAGCAATAAATTCGTATCAACTTACCACGCAGTGAAAAAAAATCTAAATAGTGTTATTCCTATTCTAACTGCTGAAAAACCTATCCCATGCCCGAAACGATGTAACGTCCACCGGAGTCGATCTCGTGCCAGGCGGCCATATTGGCAGCCGAATCTATTAGCTAATAATTCTCCTCCGTTTAACGAGAAAATTCCAAGTCAAAGGTCCACGTGTGTTCCAGGCTGTGCTCGCTGACCCTGACCCGTTTGGTGATTCTGCGGCCATTAGGCTCCGATTTAACGTCCATCAGCATCGCCGTGAAGATGCACGGCACGAAGAGAACATTGCGCTCGAACGAGATGGCGATACCGCCCGGCGGCATGCTCGACACCGAGCTCGAGCTCCAATTCGCCCTGCAGTATCCTCATTTCCTGAAAAGGGACGGGAACAAGCTGCTGATACTGTTGCAGAGACGGAAACGCTATAAAAATCGCACGATGCTCGGCTACAAGACCCTGGCCGAGGGACTCATCAACATGGCGCAGGTAAGTAAGTCGATCGATCGATCGATTGAGCCTCGCTAACACCATGGATGAAGGTGAAGCTTCAGCCCCTTTGATAAACGACCGTTAAAGGCACCGAATGCCGCACCGTTATAACAGGGTCGCCGTACTACAGCTACCGTTAACTCAACGCGATACGCGCGCATATCGGGTTCCGGTTTTCTAGATCGTAGGAGGAGCGATAATGGATTAAGAAAACTTAAGCCTGAAATTATAAATCAAATACAGCAAACTGGATTATAACTCCTTGCCCTATTATTTCATTCTGAACTGTAGCCGATGTAACTACTTTATTATTAATTATTTATTGAAAATAAGAGAAAATTCCCGTTTTATTACATGTTAACGTGTACTCTAAGGTACTGTAAGATATTGATAACAGAGAAATATTATGTACTTTACATTCAAACAAATTGAATAATATTTATGTTTGTTAAATTCTATTTGGAATCTTCATCGCGATTCTGACACGATATTGAAGGGCAAGGAATTAAAGTCTCTATAGATGCACTCTTGAAGTTTCTATAGAGAAATTTCGAAAAGTTAATTTAACTGCTCGGTAGTTTTAGTGTTAACCAATCAAAGCTATACAATCGTAAATCAGATAACCCTTGAGTGCCCAAAATATGTCCAATCAAGAAAGAAATTATCAAGGATAATATACTGTAGCAACTTCATCAACTACATACCAGGACATTCTAATAACCTACTACAAACTACCCGGAATTCTCGATAGACTAAAAGGGTACCCATTCGACTATACAGACGACCTCTCATTCTATCACCAGTACCCACTTATTAAACAATAATCAATGAACAGGTATATTTATTGTCTGAACGATCAAACAAGTCGCTAATAACCTTTGTTATCAGTACGACGTTAAGCCGCAAAAAAGAAACTATAGAATTGTAAACTAGAGAGACACCTCTTGCCCCTGTGCCGTTCCGCTAGATATCAAATGATCTACCAACTGCACTTTGAAGAAGCTACATAGCTTGAAGGAGAAATAGATGATATCACGTCTAGTGAACAATATCTGGTGGAACTGATTGAGCGTCTGTTTTAACCCTTAGCAATCAAAAGGTTCTGCTATGAGAAAGTGCAACAGATGTTTTTATTTCTATTTATTATATTGACTGTAGTTTGAGATATATTCTTGATTTTATTATACTAAAAGTTTTGTAAAACATAGATTTTAGAATATTTCAACCTTCAAACAACTGGCCCTTTTTGGAAGTTAGTACAAATGTTCAATCTTTACTTCGTTAAGAGATTAATATTCACATAGACTATTTTTGTTCTTTTTCTTATGGAATACGGATTATTCTCCAGTGAGCAGATAGTATTAACAACTCCATAGGTCACGATGTCTAGAACTATTCTTTATTTTCACTTACAGTTGTCATTCCTTGTAAATTTTTTAAACATTCTCCTATGAAACAGATTGACTTTTTTGTTGAATCAAAGTTATTCAATTGAAACCTTAATTTGAGTATAAGAAATTAAGAAGTTAAATGTAGTCGTTGAAAAATCGACTCAATTATTCACCGTCGTCGAAGAGTTCAGAGAAATGAATACTAATTTAGAAAGAGTTTCATATTCTTGAAATCTAGAATCGCTTTTTCTACAGAACAGCATTGCTAGGAGTTAAAATAGATTAATTGATCACTTTCATTGTAACAAATTTTTTTCATTTTCCTTTTTTGCTCGCAAGTTTTGAGATGCATCAACGACTAAGGTTATTAACGATAATATTGACTTTTTTTATTGAAAAATTAAATTTAGAAATTAGTTTGCTGCATTCCAGAAATATTTTAACATTTCCATCGAGTCTGTGATTACGAACAGAAATTAATGGAAGAAAAGAATGATATTACTGCCAAAACAGAAAGATACTAAATTCAATTATTTATATATCAGTTTATTACATTCACAGTTTATAATATTTTCAACTGTGATATTTTTCAAAACAATTTCCGAATGAAGCATTTCCTATCTACCTCAACCTTTCTGAATTCCTTCGAAAAGACGCAATCATAACCGATGCGTAATTGAAATCTCTATGAATAGATGCATGTTATCCTGCCATGTATAATTGTGTATAATGAGAGGATGCATAAATATTCATGCCAGCGGAGCTTGTGCTTCAGGTGCAAAGTATTCGAAATTGAAAATGTTCTGAGTTCTCGAGACACGACTGGGACCATTTAATGTTACCGATGTACCGTGTGTACCGGCCAACTACGAGGGCAATTAGAAAAGTTCGCGTCCTAACGATAAAAGCATACGACTTTTAGCTTCAAATTACAATACTTCAACTTTTTAATGATGTTTTCTCCTAATTTAGTTACATTTCATCCAGCGATACTCCATTGCTGTATGTGAATTTCGATATTCCTTGTGTTCCCACTTTATCCTCTGTAAGCCTATTAATAGGCTTCTCAATGCCTATCCCATATCAAGAGTTTCATTACTTTTTTTTTTCACGTAAGAATCTTCAGAAAAATTATTAGATTATGTTACAAAATGATTTACTGGTTTACAATTATAATTGTAAAACTAGTCAGTGTTGTATATTATTGTAAAATGAAACATTGGCCTTTGAAAAATTATTAACCATTAACTACTATGAAACATCTGTGACGCTGTTCCAAATCAATTAAAATTAACACATTGCATTCTGGTAACGAGAAATCTCGTTTTCAATGTGTTAATAAAGTATAATATGTAAATATCTAATTGAAATTGTGAATCCCAAAACGGCACAAGTCCACTTTTTAACGTTATCTACATGAGTTATTGATGTAACCGTTTTCAGCGTACTCATACCTATTTAAAATACCAAAACTGTGCACGTAATGAATATGTATATGTAGACAATGCTTGCAACAAGAATCATCAAGATTCTGCTGTTTTGCAGTTCGTGGCTTCAATTGTTATCAAGTCATTTAGAAGCTTCGGTCATCGGTGACCGTGGAAGTGGACGTGTCAACACTAAACGTACCAGCGCTTTGTAATAACCTATTTCTACCGTAACCAGTCACAGATGTTCCAAAATAGTTGAGGATTAATCATCTTTCGAAGGTCAATGCTTCTTTTTACAATAATATACAACATCGATTAGTTTTACAATTACAATTGTAAACCAGTAAATAATTGGTTATAAAATAAAGGTAAACAAGTTAGACGATACATTTTTCTTAGTGGGAACATAAACGAAATGAAAGACACAAACAAAGAGACCAATATAAGGTTAAATGGTCGGAAGAAAATGAAAAATTTTATATCACACTTTCATACCGATTATTTAACCGGTACGTTTAGTTGTAAAGTAACCTCCAAGGGATCAAGCGTTAACGAGAGAATTCATCTCTGATGCGGTGCACAGGTCCTACAGAAGCAGATGGACTTGGAGCTGGAGCTGGTGTCGTACAAGGCCGAGAAGTATGGCGGCCATTCCGTCGCGATCGCCCGGGTGAGCGTGGTCGCGTTGAGCTCGCAGCCAGTCGACCAAGACAAAAGACTGATGAATGATCCGAACGAGAGGCTCTGCCCAGAGTTCAGCGACGAGGAGGAGGAATTCAGCTCAGAGGGCGAAGCGGAGGGCAGCGACAGCGAGCCAACTCTCGAAGTGCACAGGCGGAAGAGCCGCGCGAAAATTCCGGCGAACGCCAGGGTGCGTGAAACCCATTAGTCCCGCTTCATTAAATTCCCACCGTATCCGGTGAATTGTAGAATAGTGTCCACGCTTTTCTCTAAGTGATCGCCGGGATAGCTATCAATCGCCGTCCGCCATTTCCATTAGATACTTCGCTCCGCCTTGTTGCCTTTTTATTTTCATTTTCTACGCCGCTCTGTGCTAACCTTTTCGCTAGACCGGAATGGACTGTAGACGTAACTAAATACTATTTCCTACTAATACTAAATGCTATTAACGTAACTAATACTAAATATTATTTCCGAAGACACTGACTAACCCTAGATAGCTAAACTTAACCCCTTGCCTTATGATTTAAGTTCCCGACTGTACTTGAAAAAAGGACATTATCGTGAATATTTTAGTAGAGAAACGAAGGATTTTATACTGATTCTGTGTCTACATTTACTACAAATGTTCAAGATTGATAATAGACAAATAATATTACATTTATGGTAAAAATAAATAAATGACATTTGGATTTGTCGAATTCAATTTAAATATTTTCATCGCGAGTCTGATACGTTATTATGATGCAAGGGTTCAAATTAGTGTTACTCTGTAATTAAATATTCGATTCGTAGATTACGAATTAAAGATATGCATATTTTTCTATTTCTTCTGTTTGTTTCTAACAAAGTGGTATAACGAAGAGGTGTGTTATTAGATTCTAATTAGAGAATAGAAAAGCGTTTACAATTAACGTTTGCAGTCTTTGCAGATTTGAATGGTGTGCTATTGAATTCGAATTTGGAAAATTGGCGGAAATCGGTAGATTATTTAGATGAACGTTTAGTTATCTAGGGCTAATAACGGATATTATTCTTTTACAATATGTAGATACCGATTAAACTTGGCACATGTGTAAATTTCATTGTAAATTTCAATGTGCAGCATTCGGAGAAAGTTTGAATTTATGGGTGGCACTAGTGTGGCTTGGAAAGCACCTTTTATATTTCTATAAAAATGAAGCTAAAACCTTTATAATATTTTTATGAAAACATTACAATTGTCTTGTGGATTTTACATGGCGCCGCACTTTCCCGTTTTCGTATTTTGTATGTAATAAATCACTTTAGTAATATAATGATACGTATCATTTTAGTTATCTTATCCCGAAGTGATTTAAGTCATATCTGAAGTACAATTCACATGTTGGTCGACAGTACTACTGACAGTGACAACGAAAGATAATCTGTGGCTTATACTTCAGATATAAATTCACTTATATTTGGATAAGATAACTATAAAATAATAGATATCGTAAAGGTATAGGCAAATATTTGATATCATAATATGTTAACATATGGATTTCTATCTTCTGCACTAATCGGCGGTGCTTAATTTAACTATAATTTATTTTGTCCCTTTATTAGTTTAATTGACAATCATTAAAAGTAGTAACATAATTATTCAAATGAAATTGAATAAACGACGAGTTTGTCTCGATATAAGGTCACAAGTTAAAAAGGTAGATAAAAATGCATATAATGGTGTTAAAAGCAACATAAGAAAATTCTTCATTGGATACTACTTTTGCGTCGTAAATAATGTACAATTTATACAATATTCGTGTTCGATACACTTCCGAAGAAATATTTTACTAAATGTTTTAACAATTGCAATTACAATCCAAAATATAATTTTGCTAAACTCCATAATCAAATTCTGAATAATTCAATTAGTGTTACCCTGAAAATTTTTACTGAGCATAATTGGAATACACGGTAATAAACTGTGAAAATTACTGAAGCACTGTTTACAATACGGGGAAAACTTTACTTTAAACGTTTACTTTACTATTTTTACGTGTCGAGTCACCCTTTGAAATTCTCTTTGAAGTCGTTGTGTTATACTTCGTCTTATATATACAGTGTTCATCAACTATAACTTTTCACGCAAGCTTCTTAAACAGTTTTGATGATGTACAAAATTCTTTTGTTGTGAGCTGGAAAATTAAAATAACTTAATGAAATAGAAATATCCAGGTTAAATCTATAAGGTGACTCATTTTTTTTCTACTCTTCATTTCGTATTTTACAGTATTAATTAAACAGCAAATAGTAATTTAAAAGTGTTGTTTTTGTGATTTCCAGCGTTTAATGGAACGATTGTCGCTGTTACAGCAAAGAAACTTAAAGCAGAAGTTCATAGCCCTCTTGAAACGAAGGTTTAGGGTATCCGAGGATCTGGATCAGGATCAAGAAGAGATTGGACAGAAACTTTCAGGTATATTATTAAAATGAATATATTAATTTACTTAATATATCGGATGTTATTTAATTCTATTATAGCATTTGTTATTATAGTATATGTTAGCATTGAGTTAAATGTATTTTCACGTTCAAAAATACGCTTTAGTTTTGCATGCTTTAATGACAGCAGGTAACTGCCATTATCTTTCTTACTTTAATAGATATACGACAACAAAGTAATTTTAAATTCATTACAATGGACAATAATCGAAGATGAATCAGTACAAACATTGAAACAGATTTGTAGTGTAAGCTAATATTGACCTATTGCAAATTACAAACATTGAAATCAGAGACCACAACTACGATTTAACACGTTCGCTGCAGATGATATCATTTATTGTATACCTATTCGATAATCCAAGAACCTGCGAATGCTGTTAAATACCTTTATATCTCGTTTTATGTTTCATTTGTTGCGTTTATTCCGTACGTTCAATTAATCGTAAAGTTACCATTAAAGTTAACGTATATTGCATTGAATCTACTAGAATTAAGATACAGCAACTACAAAATGGATGAAAGGTCATTACCTGCTTTAAAAATATTTGAAACGTAGAAAATAGCGCTCGATGTTGTTCTCTAGTTAACTCGATATGAATTTCTTACCTGCTTGTATCGATTTGAATAGTTTAAATTAGCTAAACTAAGAACACTGTTCTTTTATCTATTTAATTGCAGCGGAACCTTTCTCGTTACGTTACGTATGATTTCAATGCATCATAATCTCTTATCATAAAATAAACAACTTTGAAAGTATTCGTCGCCAAAACTTAACACTCTATCTGAACCTCTATCAGAAAGTATAATCTGAAAGTTTCAGTAATTCGTCAAATTATTTTTTTGTAACTAAAATACTTTCAACTCGAACACTCCTGAATTGTGTCTAGTAACTGAAGAAATATAAAAGAAACAAGGAATTGATTCTGGAAATTTGGTCTCGAATGAGGACGATTGATTTATCGGAAATGCACGAAATGTGGATTTAGCATATTTTGTTGCAATCGGCACTGTTAATATTTAACGGGACACCTTGTATCTCTTTAAGGCGGAGACATGGAGATCGAGGAATTATTCGACGAACTGGAGGATTTGTCAGACAGTGGTCCAGAATTGGACACCATGTCCGTCAGCAGCACGCCTAAGCCATCCCTGCGTCCTTTCTTCAGCTCTAGTCGATCCCTCCTCGCGCCACCTCATTCAGGTAAGTGAACGGATCCTCAGAAACGTCCGAATTCGTATTCGTAGAATTTGTAACCGGTAACATTTCGATACGAAAATGTTACACGTGTCACGCCGTGTGATAAGAGATTAGCGATGTATTTTATCCCGTGTAATCGGTCTAAATGTCCCCTTCTGTTCTTGTATAGGTACACGGTAAGGAATGATGGTATATTACGTATATTCACAGAGTATCTTATCATGACTGGACTGCGGATTCTTATGTTAACTCTTATTTCCATATATTACTTTATAAAAATAAATAAATATACGGGAAATATTTATTCCGTTAACTACGAGATTGCTTTTGCTAAAAATTAAATAGGAACGTAATTATTCTTTCGTTAGTATGAAATGTTTCTTGCATTTTATCAATTTTTGAATGATACAAACGCATGAATATCCGTTGTCTAATCATGTCTCGCTTCTGCTAGAGAGTAAAGAGTATATTCGCAATTTGTATTACACTTTCTATAAATTCGTGCGTGTTCATCGATTAATTTTCAGACAGAGAAAGCTAATGGCTGGGTCAATTGTGACTTACACTGAGATTTCATGGCTTTCCATTATCATTTCAGAAAATATATTTAATGGATATGTTAATATATACTAAACACTAATGTATATTGATGGACATATTTTTATTATATTTGTTAAATATACTTTGTTTTATCTTCAATTATTTTGACGTTGCATAAGGATTGGAGAATAGAACAATACATTTTTCTACGTACATTTATATACGCTCGTGTTTCTTTTTACATTATGTATATGGATGATTGAATGTCGTAACTGATGTTTTGTGATTGCATTCTTGATGTTGTTATTGATCGTTCGTACATTTTGTATTAATATATTTAAATATGATACATGTTGCGTACATAATGTATATTGTTGCACAGAATGCATCTACGGAAAATGTTCTTTTCTGTGTCTCTGTTATACATATATAAACACATAGTAGGAGTAGTTAATTTTTAAATTTACAAGCTTCTGACGAACCCTTTAATTAAAATAATGCACTTACTGATCTATATAATTATGAAAAAATGATTACAGTGTACAAATAAAAAAATTGTTAATAATTTCATTGTACAGTCTTTTAAATGGAATATAAATAACTTGCATTTTGATTATATATAACAATTTTAACTTCTATGATATATGCTTTACGCTGAGCAAATATTATTTTCATATTATTTGTTATTGTTTTATATAATATTCATTGCTTCTTACGATCCTACTCATTTTGGCAACTTATTTCATCTTAGCATGATATTTAATATTCTCTGTCTTCATCAAGTCTTTACTAAAGTCTCCTGAAAAACTGCGAAGTTAGGAAGTTAGAAAGTTTCGAATTACGAAAGTTCTCTTGCAAGGCGCTTGTCACTTAATCACTAATAATTAATTCCGCCACATTGTGCTAGTGTTGAAGTATTTTTCGAATATGAATAACTCTGTACAATTTCAAAATTTCGTAATTATTTAATCTGTGCTATTTTATGTCTACGTGAAATGTTGTATTCCAATTAATTCTTGCAGAAAAAATGTATCTGAACAAATCATTTATGAAGCGAAGAACTTTTCTTAGAAAGGAATAATGACTGTTGAAAACTTCAAGAGTAACAATTACACAACATTATTAATCCATAAAAACTGTAAATGTTTGATGATGAATATTTTATCACTATAATTTGTGACTCTCTATTGACCCAGCCTTTGACGTATATGAATGATCTATTTTTAACACGTTCGCTGTTAGTGTCACATATTTTTCACAATTAACGTCAAACCAATTTTATGCACCTTATTATTCAAAGTCACACCGTACGACGTAATATTTAGAAAACCCATGACTCTCCCTTATTACATTTCTTTTTAACAGACCATAAAATGGGTACGTTGCATTTGATGAAATATTGCAACCATGAGAATTGTTACCGAAATTCCATTCGAAAAATTATGATAAGCGAAGGTGTTAATGTACGGCGCGACTGGTGTTTGAACTTTAAATAAACAAATCTCGCTAAAAGGCCAAAAGATCCTTGACATTTATAGAAAGTGCACGTCCTCG